AGAACATCATTATTTATATCTTAAAACAGTTGCATTGGCTATTGGCTGAAGTGTTTCAGACTTTTAGAGCCCTGTGTTTAAAGGACTACAAACTTGACCCCTTACATATTATGTAATAACTTCCTGGACTAACCAAGCTTGTCTTAGAATGACCGGTATAAAATTAAAAATTTCGTGATATTGACATGTATTTGTTCGTAGAAAGTGCAAACAGAGGAGGAGTCAGTATGATTTCCACACCCTACGCTAACAACAGATACATGGGTGAACACTATGACCCCAATCAAGAGAGTGTATTTAATATATTTAGACTGTAACTTGCTATACTCCATAGCTATGTGCGAGCCGTTGCCTGTGGATGGATTTCGATGGACGAATGGGATAGACTACAAATATAATCAAAATGAAATGTTCGGATACATTTTAGAAGTTGATTTACAATACGACAAAAGTTTGCATGATTTACATAATGACATCCATTAGCGGCAGAGAATATGAATGGCAAATTATTACCAAATTTAATTGACAACACTAAATATATTTTGCATTATAAAGCATTACTAAAATATGAGGAATTGGGTTTGATTGTTACAAAGTACCAAAGAATTTTAAAATTTAGTCAGTTGAAATGTCTTGCACCCTATATAAATTTTAATATTGGAAAGCGAACAGTCGCACAGTCAAGTCCCTGATTTTGAAAATATACATGGGGATGGATGGGGATTAGAAATATTTATGGGGTCGGACAGTAGTATAGGATATTTGTATAGAGATGTATTGGCAGTGGACAGATTTTTTTTAAAGTTGCTAAAAAAACCCACCACGTTATTCTTATGGGAAAAACTGCCCAAAGTGCCTCCGTATTGCCATATACCCCCTACTGAAAAAATGATTATCGTCATACAGCATCATTCTTTAAGCACAAAACTATAAAATTCAGCACTTAGTTTACGTTTTCCAAATTTCCCAGGCAGTTCTCAAATTGGATTAATCTTTTTTGTTTAATAAAAGCGTCTGTGTATTGAAATAGCCGTTTTCGCTGCAGTATAACGTAAACTACTTTACTGTGTTATCTCAAAGATTGTTAAAGAATGGCTGACTGGAATACTTAGAACAAGGACGATAGCACATAAATACGCAGAAAATGTTGGTGAAAGATAGCATCGTATTGATATGATCGGAACGGCAGATCGCACAGGAAAGATACCATCTGGTCGGAGTTACACCAAGGGTCATTTAGGCCGCGACATCCACGAAATTTCTTAGACTGTTAAGTTAATCTTCCTGGAGTATTCAACGTTACAGTGCAGAGTGTGGATTGAGTATTTAAATAACTTAACGGTCGGCTTGCGCTGCAAGCGGTAAAAAAATATCCTTACCAACCATTAATGGTATTTCAGTGGCGACAAAATTTTGAAAAAACTCCAAATTAATTTATTTAGCATCTCATTTATTTTTATGATACTTAAAAATGTCATATTTTATATAATAAATAAACTCAATGTTAAAGTAGTATTCAAACTTTTAAATTTCTTACCAAATATTTAGGTTAAGAGCTTTTATTTAAAACATTTTTCTGCAAAACTAACGCTAACAAAATTGTGTTAGCATGAATAAATACATCCTTAAGCAATATTGAACAAATATAACATGTTTCTTGTAATAAAAACACCTGTTAAAGATGTATAACTAATTTTAAGTGATTTGGAGTTAGGAAATTTCCATTACAATTCGGATCTAAACCTAAAATAGTTTGTATCAACTAAAAATATATATATCGTAATTCCTTTTATTTTCTCCCTTTATTCATAGCATATGGAGAAAGTACAGTATTGTTTTCTTTAAAAATTTCGAGTTTGTTTAAAGAAGTGGATATATCAGTTTTGGCTTTCAAAGTTACGCCTGTCTGAATTTGTATGTATCTGTTTGGATGTGTACAGAGTATTTTGATGACATTTTGCATTTGGGTACTTGTCAATAGTATCCCCAGGATTATTATGTATTTTCAGAAATTGTGATTTTTAAAATGTATTTCCCATTAAAACCCGTACAATAACGTAAAATCGGATGAAAAACAATTTTGAATAAAATTAAGTATTTTATATAGTCCTTTAACGCTAAACAAACCTCTGACCATGATAAGTGTTGTTGACAAGCTAATGAGAGAAGTTATGTGTCAGATATCAGATACAGTTTATTTCATTTTGATAATAAACTAACCCGAGTCCTTGAATGATCTGTTACCGCCGTTTGAACCTCGTCTTCGCCACCGTCCCGTCGCGCCTTCGACTTCCGTCCCTGAGAATCGGACGAGTCTGAAATCATTTGATCTGTTTTCGATTTTTCACAGTCAATCACTCCTGGCCTGTCGCCTGATTTGAGGGCGTGGAATGCAAGGCCGAATTCCACAGATTTGTAGTAAACCCAAATGGCCCTATTACGTTTTTGCTCACGTCACAGAAGCATTCTTCAATACCAGAGGTCTCCATCGCTCCATCATTCCTGCAACTGTCGATATCCACTGTTTCTCACAGTTTGGAACAGAGTTCTAAATAGAACCTAACGTTTATTGATGAATGTTAGTTTGTAAGTAATTTAACTAAAACTTTAAACTTTAAATGTTAGACTAATGTTTCATATGATAATATAAGTTTGGTTTTGAGAACATACATTATTAAGCCAATCGCTTTTGGTATATTAAGCGGAAAGCATTTTCAATGAACCCTAAAATTATGAATTCATTGTTTTTATATCAGAAATAAACTTTAAAAAATTGTTTTGAACACAGTTTTTTCATTAGTAGTTTGTTAAAGTTATGTATTTATAGAGATTGGAATAAACTTTATGATTGATGGTTAATCAACAATTGTGACTAACCCTAATGTCTCCACGATAAATCAGCATCATTAAACTACCCATTGTGATTCCTTTATATTGTGGTTGAATTGGGACTCAACGTATCTTTTGAACGAAGCATAGAAATCAGAAATTATTCCTCACAGCAATAAAAAAAACTATAGTACGTTATTTAAATCATGTGTATATAAATGCACTATTTACTGCACAAAATCTTACAACAGATCGCAATGATTTTGTGACAACAATCTTTTTCCGTCGGGCACATAATCAGCTGTGAACATTCACATTTCAATCGAATTCCCCGAAAACTGATGGATCCTCTTCATGCGAGGGACATTCTTCGATGAGAAGTGAAAAAAGGTGACCGAATAATAAAAATAAGTGGTCGTTCGGTTCGGTCATATATGAAGTAATGGGCCACGCTCTTTGTCGGTCCATCTGAATCATCGTGCCAACTAATGAGTTCGCCACATAACTCGTCCATCAACTACTAACTATTTAGAAAACGTCGACCTCTACCTTCGTCCGGTGATCTATCCTGTGCCCCATATGGACTATGGGCTACGGAATACGACGGGCGTGAGAGGAATTATGGTCCAGGAGACATGAGTAGATCAGTCCATGTAAGCTATAGACTTGTGGACATAGGATATGGGGAAACTTTAAAAGCAATACAGTATGAGGTTTACGATATGAGATATGAAGATAGTATCATAATAATGAGCTTTGGGTCATTTGATGTAGGTAGCATAATTTTAGCTATATCAGATATGGATAGCACCCTGTAAGCTACGAGTGATGGTGATATGGACAACTTCGTGCTTCTTGTACCTATAGGCGATAATATTGCTGGTCTCTTTTGAGCTATGGGATTTTTGATATGGACAGCCAAATTAGGACTGTGTAAATAGGGTATGGTACACTGAATTGGATTACAGGTTTGCTTGATAACAGATTACATATCTCTCTTGTTTTGTAGCAAGCTAAATAATTCAACAAAGATACTGGAGTAAAATT